TTTAAAAAACTATAAGTACAATAAAGTTTAAGTACTTTCTTTTAATTTTGTGAAACTTTTTATGTGACTTAATTGTATGAGCACAAGTGTATTTTGACCTGGAGTTGTCTGCTGATATATTATATTAGCTGCCAGCTCCATCGCTTTCCCAATGGAAAAGTCCTCTGCTTGTAATATACCACAGTGCTCCGCTAACTTAAAAGGCTGTCTTTTGCCTAACTCCGGAAAGTGTGGTTATTCCTCGAGGACTACTTTAGATAAGTTTCGCATCATGTTAGATATTGGATATTGCGAAAGCATTACGATATTTGAGGGCGCTACTTATAAAACACTTTAGTTTTGATTAGTACAAGTCAAGCTAATCAACAACGACAGAGATATGGTGAATTTTTCACGAGATTAGTAATATTTTGGAGGATAACGGATTTGCTAAGTCTATCAATACTTGGATAGGTTTGTCTTGGTAATCATACATACATATATATGTATATGTAAATACAATGGAAAAGATCGGATAAATACAAAGTATTATAAGTTCGTTAGTCTACAGCGGGTTAAGATATCAAAGTCGTACTCACTCAACTTCTGTGTTAGTTGTTAGACCAATAAAATACACAGCTTATCATATTTAAAATAAATGTTTATTTGTTATTAATAATACTCATTTATTAGCTTAATTATTGCTCATTCCTGCGGATCTTCGCTTATAGGCGTGAACTCGGGCAGATAAATTGGAGGTAAACTCAGATCCGGTGGAGGAGCGGCCCAATTCTGTGTGCGCGGAAAAGACTGAAAGGAAAAAAAAATGTTTTTGCATAATTAACAACTGCTACACAGCACAGTAGTCATAATTTGGGCGCAGCTACTTTCTTAGCCAGACGGTGTAAAATTATAAGCGACTGCGGCGATGCAAGCAAAAAGTGAGCGCATTTAAATAAACCGCATAAGAAAACAAGATTTTAATAAATTAAAATAAATCTTATTCAATTAAAGCAAACAAGTTTCGCTTGATTACTCGGCGGTCCGGTCCGTTAGCACACTTCTAACAACCAGTACTTACACCGTGCCCGATAACTGCAGCGTGTAGAATTTGCATGTGCACCGCCGACAAGATAAGGGCGATGGCAAGCAGATAAGCGAGAAAGCGCAACATTTCGCACACTTTATTATTCTTTCTTCGTCTGCTTTGTCGTCTTTGAAGTGTGAGTGGAGCAGTAGACGCGCTTAGTTGGTAATTGTGCGTCCGCCGTTGGCGCTTGGCCGATGCTCGTTTGGAAAATGATGCCTGGCGGCTGATGGCGCACGTTTTAAATATTGGTCAAACGCTAACAAGCCACCACTTTTGCTGACGTTGACCGCTTTCTCAAGGTAATTAATTACTTCCAAGGTGTGAATGGGCTGAAACAGTAATTGCGGTCATAATTTATGGAAGGAATGTTGTGGTGTATGCAAAAAATACGATTAACTGTCGCACTCTAATTTGAACTTAAATTTAAATATACTGTTCTTTAAGGCGGCTATGTTTTATAAATGGTTGTGCAAAGTCGGTGAGGCAAAGGCGATGAGTTTGTATTACAAGCTTTTTGATGTGTACTGGTGGTGTGACTTGGTGGATGATCAGCTTCCATCGTATACGCAGATGACTCAACTCTCTTTGTTGCCAGAAAGGTTAATGGTTCCTGAGTGCAATATTTGGATCAGTGTTAAAATTCTTCTCTTATTTATTGACGTAGACAGCGCTTAAGCGGTTAAGGTCGAGTTTACAACAGCGCGCCAGTCGTTCCGCCGTTTCGCTGTTCGGCGAAAAATTGGTGATTGCAACGGTAGCCAGGTTCTTCTCCACTTAGTCTTTCTATCGGAGTGGAAGCCTTCCTCTTCCTCTGCTTGTTCGGCGGGCACTGCTCTTTCAGAGCTAGAATGTTTTCGTCCATTCGGATGACATTACTTTACCAGCGTAGCCGCTGTCTCTTAAATCGCTAGACTATGTCAATGTCGTCGTATATTCCGTACAGCTCATCGTTCCATCGACTGCGGTATTCGCCATTACCAATGCGCAAAGGACCATAAATCATCCGCAGAACCTTTCTCTCCAAAACTCGTAACGCCGACTGCTCAGATGTTGTCATCGTCCATGCCACTGCACCATAAAGTAGGTCGGAGACGATGAGTGACTTGTATAACTTGGTTCGTCGAGAGTGGATTGTACTTCTTCACTGCCTACTCAGTCCGAAAAGAGTTGGCAAGAGTTAGTCTGCGTTTGATTTCGAGGCTGACGTTTTTGTTGGTGTTAATGCTGGTTCCACGATGGACGAAATTATCTACCCCTTCGAAGTTATGATTGCCAACAGTGACGTGGGAGTCAAGTCACGAATCCGACGATTGTTTGTTTGATGACAGGAGACATATATATCGTCTTGACCTCATTCACTAACAGACCCATTTGCTTTGCTGCCTTTTTCAGTCTGAAGAAAGCAGAGCTATATTTAGACCAAAGTGAAACTAATATCTCACAAATGGATCTATAGCATTCTTGAGTATTTTGAAATAGTTAAAGTATGAAATTGGTTCTATCCGATGAAGTTCGACTAGTTTAAAAACTTTGAGATATAGCGGTTTTTTGTTTTTAACTGATGTAGTATCTTCTTTAGAATACTGACTACTTTTTAAACGAGTATATTACGGTGAGTCGGGTCGGTTGGTCGGAAGACCAAGCCAGCAAGATTTTTTTGTAGGAGCGGCAGTATTCTGCTGAATTGACTGTGCTTGACCGGATAAAAAATCCGAGCCCGTTCTGGTTACGTTGACTCGACCGCCGTGTGAACGGCCAGGAAAGTCGTTTTATAATTTTGGTGGAATTGGCAATAATCTTGTACTATGTGCTGCTTCCTTGGTAAGAAGGTGCTTATGAATCCACCTTACAGTCCGGACTTGTTTTGTTTAAAACAAATAGTATTTTAACTTCGATTATTCGTTTGAATTAATTTTATTTTATAACAGTTCATAGACGAAGTTACTGTTTTCCTCGAGTCAATTTAATGGATGATGCGTTGCACTTCCTTAATTTTTGTTTCTTCTCTTCCCATAACATTTCCACGACCTCGCCGCCAGCAAAAAAAAATAAAAAATAAAAAATATCAAATGACCATTAGTCAAGATTACCAAAATAAACCGTTAAAGTTGACAGTTACTTCGTCATAAGTTAAGAATATTTTAATTTATGACAACACAGAGAGCGAATGAGTGTGAGAGCCGCAAGGCAGGAACAATATTGTGTAATCAGAGAAGTTGACTAAGCAACTTACAAACAAAAAAGGAATAAAGCAAACAGGAAAAGTATGCGGAAAGCTAAGGGCTACAAAGCAACAACACATAAATTTTGTACACTTGGTCAACTTGTTCGCCGTTAATTGAATCATAACAGCACCTCTGAGACAATGGGAACATAATCATTTTTCAAAGGGCAGCCTAAAGCAGCTAAGGCGGAAAATAAGATAAACTTAAACCAAGAAGAAGGTGATTTCCTCAAACACCACAAGGAAAAAACAGAAAGGGGTGGTTGGGTTGAAACAAAAGGATTACAACTGGACATTACGGCACAAAACAAAAGGGATGGACTTCGAGAGAATAAAAAGTTAATTATGAAAAACATAAAAAGCGCAAACATGGAAAATGCTGCGGGGTATGAAACACACACATACATATGTATGTATATGGAAAATTGATTTAAGCAGCAAAGGACCGAAGTCATTAATTTGCATATAGTATGTTTGCTGGCTGAAAGCTGTCAAAAGTGAGGAGGATGTCGTGCTTTATGACAGTAAACACCGCGAGCAGCGCGCAGCTGCCCATAAATGGTCAAGTTGATACACGAAATGAAAGAAATATTAAATACATGAGCATTCGTAGTATTATATAAGGTATCAAGTTGCTGCTGCTGGCTGAAAATGAGCAATGTTAAAGGCAAAATCAGTTGTACTCTGAAGTGAAATGAGTATTTTTGGATTGTTGAGGGAGAAAAATTCCGGTTTCGTTTGCAATTTGAAGATGGTGTTGTAATCCGCTGGACTTTCAAAGGATTACAAGCGAGGAAGCTGTTGAAAAATGTCGAAAAGCATATTTGTGTTTACAATGCGATTAAAATTTTCATGATTTCTGGAGTGATGAATATTTTTTTTTTTTTTTTTTTTTTTTGAGAACCTAACTGGATTTTTCGTATAACGAAATATATAACCAGTCAAGACTAACAATTATTATCACATTTATTATGAGCTTAAATTGTTTTCAATAAGGATTAAGAGCAATGGCAATGTTGGAACATGTTTGAACATCGTTTATTTACATATATGTATATACACATACGTAAAGTATGTACACATGCATATGCTGTATGTATAATGCCTTATGAATATTTTAGGTTTTGAAATATGAGAGTAATTATTTATTTTTGGTGAGATTATTAGTTGGACACAATTAGGATTTAAGGAAAATTAATGATTAATAAAAACAAGTAAGGAAGGGCTAAGTTCGGGTGTCACCGAACATTTTATACTCACGCATGGTAAAGTGATAATTGAGATTTCATTATCCGTCATTTACATTTTTTTTATTTTGCTGTAAACCTAATTAGATTAAATCAATTTGAGTACTTTGAGTATTGAATTGTATTTTCATTTATTTTAATTGTATTGAAAAATTATAGTCCGATCACGACAATTTTTCCACAAGGGATACCTCAGCTCAAATACCGTATTTATGTAAAGTTTTATTCCGCTATCATCATTTATCCCTAATGTATATGTTATAAAGAGAAGGCATCAGATGGAATTCAAAATAGCGTTATATTAAAAGAAGGCGTGGTTGTGAACCGATTTCACCCATATTTCGTACATGTCATCAGGGTGTTAAGAAAATATTAYATACCGAATTTYATTGAAATCGGTCGTGTAGTTCCTGAGATATGGTTTTTGGTCCATAAGTGGGCGTCGCCACGCCCATTTTCAATTTAAAAAAAAGCCTGGGTGCAGCTTTCTTCTGCCATTTCTTCCGTAAAATTTAGTGTTTTTGACGTTTTCGTTAGTCGGTTAACACACTTTTAGTGATTTTCAACATAACCTTTGTATGGGAGGTGGGCGTGGTTATTATCCGATTTCTTCCATTTTTGAGCTGTATAGAAAATGCCTGAATGAAATAACCCTATAGAGTTTGACATAGCTAGTGGTAGTAGTTTTCGAGACATGTACAAAAAAGTTAGTAGGAGCGGGGCCAGGCCCACTTTTCCAAAAAAATTATGTCCAAATATGGCTCTCCCTAATGCGATCCTTTGTGCCAAATTTCACTTTAATATCTTTATTTATGGCTTAGTTATGACACTTTATATGTTTTCGGTTTTTGCCATTTTGTGGGCGTGGCAGTGGGCAAATTTCCATCTTCTTCCATTTCTTCAAATTTTCCATCTTCGAACTTAACGTTCCTATGGAGCCAAGAAATACGTGTATCAAGTTTCATCGTGATATCTCAATTTTTACTCAAGTTACAGCTTACACGGACGGACGGACGGACAGACAGACATCCGGATTTCAACTCTACTTGTCACCCTGATCACTTTGGTATATATAACCCTATATCTGACTCTTTTATTTTTAGGACTTACAAACAACCGTTATATGAACAAAACTATAATGCTCTCCCTAGCTACTTTGTTGCGAGAGTATAAAAATTTAGAAAACACGTCGGCACTATAGGTTAGTTTAATGTGGTTGGCCAATGAGCCTCGTCTAGACCCGTTTTGATCCATTGCGATACCAGATGGAGTTCAGTTACTATGATAAGGAGTAATAATCTTTTAGGACGTGAATTTTAACAGACTCTGTGGCTTTACTATTGATACCTCCACCACATTTCCTGCAGTCTTCTCGATTTGTCAGTCCCATTCTGTGGGCGTGTGTCGCCACCAGACAGTGACCAGTCCTACAGTCTCTTCTATCGAGTGCCAATAGCAATTTTGTGTACTTCCGATCAACTGTTTTACACGTAGATTTGCAGTTTTGCTCCCACGTAGCTCGTTGATCGTTCCAATGTGTTTGGATTTCTTTACCTAGCTGCTGTCGAGATCGTCGTATAGACAATACACGCGTGTTAGCCGTACACCATTATTGGCGATCTCACCCACTATTTCATTGCCTTCGATGCCTTTGTGGCCTGGCACCCAGTAGAAGTGAAGTTGCTTGCTTTTAGCAACACTTTTCACTGCTTTCCAAACAG